AGAAGGAGAAGATCAAGTGGCGTTAGATCGTGCTGCTCAACGTGATACACACCTTACGGTTTAAATTGATTTCTGAAAATGAAGGAGCCCATCGCTACTCATATGTTGACATTCCATATCACTTTGTATTTAATGATAAACATTGTAAATGGAAGGTTAGACAAAGAGGTGGAAATAAGGTGATAGTAAGAATGTATAAAGTTAGTCCAACAGGAGAATTATTTTTTCTTAGATTATTACTTTTGCAGGCAGGAGCAACATTTTGGAAGGATTTGCGTACTGTTAATGGAATAGTTCTTGAAACCTTTTGTCATTTATTAAGTTGTCAAATATTAAGTTGATTAGTTTAGTCTGCATTTGCAACACTTTTGAGAAAAGAAAAAATTCTTATATATGTAAATCGTTGTTTTACACTTTATTATTTTGGTAAAAGATCTTCATCAAAAATTGATTACTCTTAATAAAAAAAACTCTACTCACCTGGCTACCATAAAAACAAAAAAAGGGGAGGGGCTCTTAATTAGCGGAGATGTCAAAATATTGACGAAACCTAAACTTCGAGTAATAAAAGGAATATTTAGTAAATGGTAGCAAATTACTTTACCGTTTGCAAAAAATTATTGAAATAAAGAGGCCATCTATACAATATAGAAATGGTCAGAGTTGAGAAGGCTTAACATGACCGGGTCCGGTTAGCTTTGTTTGCAAACATGACATTATGTCACGTTAACAACCTCAAAAGTCAATTTAAAACATTTTTAGTAGCAAAATGTGATATATACAAGTATAAATGTGATAATATAGTAATACTCTTTTATGATTTTTTAGCTAATAAAATGGATTTAAAACTAGTTTGATTTTGGTTTCCTGTTAAACCGCAGTAAATAAAGATTAGAAGGCTATTTGGCTCCAACAGAATATGCGACAAGTTTGTATTTAACTCATTTATACAAAAATGGAATTGAGACAAGTTAGCTCCTAAAATTATCTATATGTACAGATATGTTTATTGCACACATTAGTAAATAAACTGATTAGTTGCGTAATGAGTTTAAATTTTAGACATTTTTTAAAGTTGATAATCATAATGTACTTAATTAAACATGCTAATCGTGATGTAATTTGAAAGCTAAAGTTAAATGCTCTTTTACTTTAGTTACTGCACTCAGTGATGCACAGTTTTGTTTGTGCGCAGTTTTTCTTCTGTTCTGGAAATTTGAGATTGAATTTTGAATTTCCAGACTTATTTTAAAAAGCGCAATTTCGTTATAAATTTTCTTTACATCTAATCGTACCTTTCAAGTAGGTCATATTCTGTATAATCAATTCAATCGTTTTCATTTTTTATGTTTCAACATGTCTGTTACCTTTATTAAATTTGTTTTTAAGCATACTTGTTTTTATTTTTTATATTGAATTAATAGAATGAATCAGATTGAAGATAAAGGTTTGTATTTATTTAGATGTGTATTATGTTACAGATGTATAATGTTATGTTGTTAGTTCTTAAATATATGTTTATTTTTAGTTGCTGAATTACTAAGAAGTAAGTTTTGTTCCATTTTGTTATAAAGAAATGTTATAAATTGCATTTATATGTTTGTTAATTTTAATTAAAGGATTCTCAAAATTAAAGGATGAGGGGGATAGGTAAAACAATTATTTAGATATGTATATATTTATATGTTAACATTATTTTATCGATTATTTTATATTTATTCAAGTATATATTTGTCTTTATTGTCTGGTGGAAGTATAGCTGGTAGGGCTGTGTTTTATATTTTATATATTTTGTATGGAGAAATATGTGCAATAGGTTGAAAAATTAAATAATAAATATGACATTTTTGAACTGGTTGCATTATTGCCCTACATTATTATTAAAATACAAAATGTTGCATGTTTAACCCTCTTTAATTTGCTCTCATTATTCTTTTAGCATCTTCTGTTTCGAATGAAAATGGTGAGGTTATGCTTATTTTTTTTATTAAATAAAATTGAAAAAGGAAAATTTTTATTATATTCTTCTATTTGTAACTTTAGATTCCTTAACATTTGAAAACTATAGAACTTACCACTCCCAACACCCGGGACCTCTCTTAGAGAGGTCCTTCAACAAATGGAGACTTAATGGCAGAATGGATAAGCCCTCCTTCAAATGGAGGGCTCATCCATACCGGGGTGTTAGGAGACACCGAAGAAAAAATAGCAACCAAGAGGTTGTAAATGTCTTCTATCAGTGAAGATCTGACTTTTTGGTTGCTGCTTTTTCTTTGGTGTTTTTTTTTTTTTCAATTTTGTAATTTTTTTTTTAATTTTTATTTTTTTTTTATTTTAATTTTGTAATTTTTTTTTTAACTATATATTATGTTGTATATTGGGCATGGGTAAAACAATTATTTAGATAAGTATATATTTATATGTTAACATTATTTTATCGATTATTATATATTTATTTAAGTATATATTAAAGTAATAGTATATATTAAATATATAGTAAGTGTTTTATATTTTATATGTTTCGTATGGAGAAATATATGCAATAGGTGGAAAAATTAATTATTAAATATGACACTTTTGAACTGGTTGCATTATTGCCCTATATATTTATTAAAATACAAAATGTTGCATGTTTAACCCTTATTAATTTGCTCTTTTTTTTTTTTTTTTTTTTAGCATCTTCTGTTTCAAATGAAAATGGTGAGGTTATGCTAATTTTTTTTTTTAATAATTGCAAATGTATAATTTTTATTATATTCTTCTATTTGTAACTTTAGATTCCTTATCATACAATCATTATAAAACTTACCGCTCCCAACACCCGGGACCTCTCTCAGAGAGGTCCTTCAACAAATGGAGATATAATAGCGGAATGGATGAGCCCTCCTTCAAATGGAGGGCTCATCCATACCGGGATGTTGGGAGACACCTAAGAAAAAACAGCAACCAAAAGGTTGTAAATGTCTTCTAACAGTAGAGATATTTATGACGTTTTGGTTGCTGCTTTTTCTTCGGTGTTTTTTTTTTTAATTTTGTAAATTTTTTTTAAGTATATATTATATTGTATATTTGATTTGTTTTGATCTTTTTTAATGAAAATTTTAATTGTTTTCTGATCAATTAAACCTGAACTTCAAAATATGAATTGATTCATTATCCAATTGTCTTAATATAATGATGCTGCATTCTTTTGTTAAAAACAATTATTTGGTAGTTTCATTTATTGAACTCACTGCTTTTAAAATTTACCAAAACCCAAGGCAATATATTTAGCTATATAAATACAATTTATTTATCTCGATTCGATTCTTTATCTTTCATTTTTATAGTTTGGCTCCTTGAAGCATTTTATGTTTTGCTATTTTTATTATGAGTACTTTAAATTTGTTGTGATGTCTTTTAAATTAATCTAAAGTTTACTAAAAGCCAACTTTTTAAATATACTTTTTGAATATACTTTTCTATAACAATCCTACTAATATGGAATCGTGTAGCTTTTTAATTATGTTTTATTGTCGCCCCTATTGGTAATAAATATTTTATATTATTTGATATGGTTTTCTTTACAATAGGCTATGCTTGGCTCCTCAGTGCTGTAAATGGTGGCTTCAACTTTGTTTTTTAAGAAAAATGTGTTTTATATATGCTTCTGTTTTAAAATATTTTTGTTACATATTTAACTATATATCAGGTAAATAAATTTCTTTTAAAGATATGTAAACTTGATACTTGCTTTTTTACGGATTTTCAAAAAGTGAACAAAGGTTTAAATATATTTTTTAACTGTCTTATATGGTTTTATCAATTTTATTAAAGCTGAATAATTACTTCAAAAATATTGAGTAAAATCTAATTGCTTTTATTATTAACCTGATCTATACAAAAATTAATGAAATAAAACTAATAATCAACGCCAAGTTAAGGCAAAATGTATTCCGGACATTTTATAAAATTAGTATAAATATGGATTGGATGTATGCTGAAATAAATATGTTGATATACGTTAGCTATAAAGTAAATCGATATATTCCTTTATTGTTTTTTTATAAACAAGTTTCTGCTGGATTACCAATTAAAAAAAAGGTTGGTTTAGTAATAGTCTTTATCATATAATAAAATAGGATCCGTATGCAGGGCTAAACCCTTTCCGGAATTGCGATATATTTTTTCAACTTATAGTAATTCCGGATATCCAACTTCTATGCAAGTTTGGGTGTAATATTTTAGATGTTTTAAAAATATTTAAAAAGTATATTAAAAATATTGAAAAGTTTAGGTGCGATAGTGACATATTTTTAAGCTCTTCACTCAGTAAAATGAAAAGTTTTAAAAAAAAGAAACCACTCAGCTTAAAGCAAAATTAAGAGTAAAATATATTCCCAATATTTACCTAAACAATTTTACGGAATTTGAAAATTTAACATCGATGTTATGTGCATATAATTCAAGTCATTTTTAACTACTACATGGTTGTGATTTGCGCATTCAATGTCTGGACATTGCAAAAGAAATGGTTAACTTTATCTTTAATGAAGTTAAGAGTTCTCTTAAACTAAGAAGCCAAGAAAAATAAAAGTGAGCACAACTAAAAAAATGTATAAATAAATTTATATTTTATTAGAGAAAGTAAATAAATATCAAATTGTTAGTAATGATTTATTTACTACTAACCCATATTACGGGTTGCTTACTGCTAGACTGCTTGATTTATTTACTACTAACCCGTATTACGGGTTGCTTACTGCTAGTACAAATGATTGGGTAACAAAATTTCTTTATTTGAAAAAAAAAAGTAGAAGCAGATGTTGGAAAACTCAAGAGTATATAGTAAACAACATAAAGGGCCTGGGATTAGTTAAAGACGTTAAAAATTGTGAGTACTGAAGTTGCGGCATTGAAAAGTAGAAAGAAACATTAGAAACAATAGCACTATTTATGGTCAAAAAATTTGTTAATAGCATTTCGCTTTAAAGTATTAACAAATCATATTTTTAAATTACCTGTTACAATACTTTCCGTGTTACAAATTTTGTCTACATCATTCCAAAGTGTTTGAAATAAATTACATGAACTTCTATTATTATTTTCAAAATGTATCATTATTGGAATGTCAATGTAAGTTTGGCAAAACAAACAGCTAGTTTTATCAATAATACCAATAACATTTTGATTAATTCCAATGTTTGGTAATTGTTTAACCTAAAATACAAGCACACTTTGAAAGAATGATTAGCAGAATTTACTCTGCAAATTTAATTTTGGAAAATTATAAAAACTAAATAATACTAATATTTAAAATTGAATAATACCTCATATTTAAAACTATTATTATGAATATAAACTTCATTTACTGATGTATATATAGATGGAAACTTTATGTAAGGTGGTAAGAAGTATTCCCAAGAAACATTAACGACTGGTTCACTTAGATTCCAATAGCTTATGTTAAGACTGATATTCAGGAAATTTCTATAAGATTAGAAAATTATTTTAAAATTAAAAAGACTTTAAAAAAGTATGTATATATATATATATATATATATATATATATATATATATATATATATATATATATATATATATATATATATATACATATATATATATATATATATATATATATATATATATATGATATATATATATATATATATATATATATATATATATATATATATATATATATATATATATATATATATATATATATATATATATATATATATATATATATATATATATATATATATATATATATACACTGGTTACTAACAATACAAGGCTCTACTAAACGACATAAACAGCACAGACTTACACATTACACCTATATACCCTTATGGACATACAGCCTGTTTACATCATTTGCATGCTTTTTGTTCTTTCATAGATAAACTTTGTTTAAACTCATCCTTATTTAAATAATATTTTCTTTTAATAGATAATATGTGGTTGAAATGTTGATATAGATTTGTATGTTATCTATATGTGTTTATCATGTGAGATTGAGTTTTTGAATCATATATATATATATATATATAAATATATATATATATATATATATATATATATATATATATATATATATATATATATATATATATATATATATATATATATATATATATATATATATATATAAGAGCAATTCTTATAAACTAGCGGCTTTCGACATGTTTTGATAATGTATGTTTTTCCTTGTTATTTGTTATGGTCTCAAAATTACATTTAATTCAGACTGTAGAGAAAACTTTACTTTTCAATAACTTTTTACATCATTTTTACATCACGACTTATATCATTGTTATATTACCCACAGCTAATTTTTTAACCACTCATTTGGCTTAAATATATTTGGTTTTATTACAATATTTAGTTAATCTTACTGCAATATTTACTAATATATTATTTATCTCCTGATTTTCATATTATTACTGTTTGTTGTATTCATTACTCAGCTTTGTTTTAATTTTCACATTTTTTAATTTTGTTTTATATTCTTCATTAAATGTTTACATATATGCTGCTTACATTTTGAAGGTTTTTGTGCAACATTCTTTTTCGCTATCATATATTATTCAATTATTCTTATGATTTTGGGTTTCGCGGGGTGCTCATTTTCTTACACTTTTGATTGGTTGTCATATTTTGAATGAGGTATTTATGACAGCGCTAAAGTTTATTTGAGGTTATTGTTGTTTTGTTGATTAAAAAAATATTTTTAATGAGGTATACTGCTTTCTGATTGATTATCTTAGGCTTGTTTATGTTAATAATAACTATTTGGTTTTATTTCTTAAAATAAATTTATGAATTTTTTATGCTTCTATTAGAATTTCAATTCTTTTTTTTTCATGTTTTCTTTTGGTGGTATGGTAAGTGTTTTATTTAGTTATTTTTATTTTTGTTAGTTCAGTAGATCTACACTTTTTTTACCACATCATCAAAAAAATATATTGGTGCTTTACAAATTTGGGGTTGGTTGGCTATTTGTAGTGAGTCCTTTTTCACTGCAGTATGGAATAGGCGTAAGTCGCGGGGTAAAGCATAAGTGGCAATGATGTTTGTCTGACGGGATAAACTAGTTATAAATGCTGATCCTCATCGCTAGTAATAATAGACACGACTCTGAGGAGATGTTTATTACTTAATCACTACACAAATTATGTTTACACATTAGCATTAATGTTTTTTTTCCATTATTAGGCCTTTCATTGTTGTTAGCATATTTTTTATTTTGTGATCGGTTTTTTTGTTTTATAAGTTTTTGTCTGGTGATGTATTTGTTGTATATCTTCGTTCATATTGGTGTTTATAAAACAATTTTTTTTTTTTTAATTTTTATTGTTATTATTGTTCAGTACTGTTTTGGGTGTATAGCCTGTCTTATTTATTTTTAAATATTCCTCTATTAATCTTTATTTTTGTCTTGACAACTGTCAAAATATTTTGTCTAATAAACAATTCTCCTTTATTCTAATGTACTTCATTTTATTCATTTTATTCATTTAAAATACTTCATTTTATTCACTTCATTTAAAATACTTCATTCGCCTGACTCCCCAGGCGTTTACTTCCCGTGTGTGACCATTCAGCGAACTTTATATGCTAAAAGTTTTTAAATAAAATTATTGGGATTTTGTGATTTTAAAAAAAAATTTTTATGCAATGTATTGACTATTCATACATATAAATTAACACTTGTAAAAGCAAAACTTGGAGTAGTATATTTTATGTTGTTCAAAACCTTTGGCATATAAAAATCGCCGAATAGTCACACACGAGCAGTGAACACCTAAGGAAAGAAATGAAGTACATTAGAATAAAAGAGAATTATTTATTAGACAAAGCATATTTTGACAGTTGCCAAGACAAAAATAAAGATTAATAGAGGAATATTTAAAAATAAATAAGACAGATTATACACCCAAAACAGTACTCAACAACAAAAACAATAAAAAAGTAAAAATAATATTATTAAATAAATAAAATTGTTTTATAAACACCAGTATGAAAGACGATATACAACAAATACATCACCAGACAAAAACTTATAAAACAAAAAACCGATCACAAAATAAAAAATATGCTAACAACAATGAATAGCCTAATAAAATAAAAAAAAAAAAAAAAAACACTTTTGAGAACCCTTTTTATATTACAAAACAGACTCGTTGCAGAAATTTTCTAAATTAGAGACTCAAACAATAACACAGTAAAAAAATAAATAAATTTAAGGTATAATTATCTCCACATCAATAGATAAAAAACTAGTTGCAGTGTTTATTGCATTTGATAAAATTTGGGCATTGCAACCAATACCCATAGTTTTGAAATTTAGCTTAACGATTACCTTTTTGAGAATATTGTTATTACCGTTTTTTAAATTGGTATTAGTGTTATCTGCAGGTATAGACAAAACTTTAGAAGTAATATTGTTATCACTAATGCAAAAAAAGATAATTTCTGATAAATAATAATATATAAATATATATAATAAAAGATAATTTTATTTTTAAATAAAAGTAGTAGTAGTAGTAGTAGTAGTAGTAGTAGTAGTAGTAGTAGTAGTAGTAGTAGTAGTAGTAGTAGTAGTAGTAGTAGTAGTAGTAGTAGTAGTAGTAGTAGTAGTAGTAGTAGTAGTAGTAGTAGTAGTAGTAGTAGTAGTAGTAGTAGTAGTAGTAGTAGTAGTAGTAGTAGTAGTAGTAGTAGTAGTAGTAGTAGTAGTAGTAGTAGTAGTAGTAGTAGTAGTAGTAGTAGTAGTAGTAGTAGTAGTAGTAGTAGTAGTAGTAGTAGTAGTAGTAGTAGTAGTAGTAGTAGTAGTAGTAGTAGTAGTAGTAGTAGTAGTAGTAGTAGTAGTAGTAGTAGTAGTAGTAGTAGTAGTAGTAGTAGTAGTAGTAGTAGTAGTAGTAGTAGTAGTAGTAGTAGTAGTAGTAGTAGTAGTAGTAGTAGTAGTAGTAGTAGTAGTAGTAGTAGTAGTAGTAGTAGTAGTAGTAGTAGTAGTAGTAGTAGTAGTAGTAGTAGTAGTAGTAGTAGTAGTAGTAGTAGTAGTAGTAGTAGTAGTAGTAGTAGTAGTAGTAGTAGTAGTAGTAGTAGTAGTAGTAGTAGTAGTAGTAGTAGTAGTAGTAGTAGTAGTAGTAGTAGTAGTAGTAGTAGTAGTAGTAGTAGTAGTAGTAGTAGTAGTAGTAGTAGTAGTAGTAGTAGTAGTAGTAGTAGTAGTAGTAGTAGTAGTAGTAGTAGTAGTAGTAGTAGTAGTAGTAGTAGTAGTAGTAGTAGTAGTAGTAGTAGTAGTAGTAGTAGTAGTAGTAGTAGTAGTAGTAGTAGTAGTAGTAGTAGTAGTAGTAGTAGTAGTAGTAGTAGTAGTAGTAGTAGTAGTAGTAGTAGTAGTAGTAGTAGTAGTAGTAGTAGTAGTAGTAGTAGTAGTAGTAGTAGTAGTAGTAGTAGTTTTCGGAGAATGTGTAGCAGCTGAAAAACCAAAATTAACTATACAACATAAGCAAAACTGATTGGTTAGGATTTAAAACTTATATTAAAAAAAAAGATAAACTCAGTATAATGATTAACTTAATATTATGCAGTAGTGTTGTAGTGGCAGAGCGCTTGCTTTTTAAACAAGAAGCCTCAAAAGAATTTATAAATAAGAATTAAGAGAGGGTTTTAAAAGCCTACTTAACTTAACCTCAACTTATTGGCCCTTGAAAAGGTGTGTATACTGCGGAATTCCTTAATGATTCAAAATAGAAAAAAATTCTCAAATTCAGTGACTTTTTTTTTTCTTAAGTAATAGGACAATATCAATTAAAGTTTCCATAATTTGTGGAACAATAACAATAAATATTTCCAATATTGCAAAACGGGGTAAAAAATATATTCCTGACTAAACATCTTGACTATATATACTGATAGATCATCATTTTATTATAAGGACCATAATCGAGTAAAATAAAAGTAAATTTTTACATATGATAAACTAATCTTTATAAAAGTAAACAATAAAATCTTTACTTAAGTTTAACTTCATTTGTATAACTATAATTATTGTAATATAAGCATTAAAAAACTTTAAATTATAAGAAAACCCATACTCAAATATCTCTCCATTATATGTGACATTTAACAGAATTTCACATTTTACATCATTTTCTAAAATCATAAAACATAAAATTATTAAATACCAAATTTTGAAAATTAAAATTAATTAAGTTGAAAATCCCAGTATACAACACAAAAACAATGTTGTCTACTACATAATAGTGCATATAAAATCTATTAAAACTTTAGATATTATAATGTATAAAACTATAGATATTATAATGTATATTATATAGTATTTTTTATAGTATGTTTTCAACAAGCAAATGCGGTGGATAGTAGCCATTATTATAGATATTTTTATATTTAAATGAACTTCAAGTTTGATAAGTCTGATATGTTTTATATAATACTTTTTTGTTTGTTTGTTGTATGTACAATTATAATTATGTAAAATTTCTAATTAATTTATCTTAAATATGTATAAAATCAATAAAGTCAAGTTTTTTAAATATTTCCTTTTTTTAAATATTTTTTTTTATACCTTTTCATTTTGTTAAAAATAACAAATAAAAGTATAAAAAAATAATAAAGTCATTAAATTTTTATTTTTCAATTTGATTGATTGGTAGAAGTATGGAATAGATTTTGTGTCAGTATCAAACATCAAAAGCTCCAGAACCAAATGTAAAGCTCCTTAACCAAATGTGAAGGTCAAAAGCTTCTTAACCAAATGTAAAGATTGAAAGAAAATTTATCTGTAATGTCGTATACATCTAATCTTTAAGAAATTGAAAAATTTTTGTTATCAGATTTTTTATAGCTATATTTATCAATGCTCTTTTTTATTGTTAATAATAAGTGCATTTATGAATCTTAAACTAAACTACATTTTCTTGTTTTGAGAGATATAAAACTATAATTTTTTGATTTTAATTTTTTTAACTTTAAGCAGGTTTTAAATTTTCAACTTTAAATGCAAAAATGTTTGCATTTTAAGTTTGGTTTATCAGGGCATTCTGGAGAAAAAGCTTTTTATGGTGTCAAGGTATATTTACATTAGATTCAGGAATGAAACAAATTCCAGGCAGTATTGAATAGTGGTGCAGCAAACATTTTTAAAAATTAGCAAAATCATCCATGAAAAACTTTATGAACTCCATCAATTTGCGATTTTTTTTTGCGGAATGGTTGATCCTACATACATCAATTGAACACCTAGTTCCTCCACCTAAACTTTATTTATCAATTGGTTTGCTTCACTGCTTAAAATGTTTTGTTTGATATCTGGATTTAATGATTGACTGAAACAAAAGGTAGAGGCTGGTATGAAAATATGAAAATAACTAAAAAAAAATATTAGATAATAAAATTCATTTACTTTTTTAATTTCAATTGTTTATTGTTTGAAATATTTTTGTAATATAAAAAATTGTTGTTTTTCTAGTTACAAACTGGCTGCAAATAAGCAACATAAAATTTAAAAAACTCATTTTTTTGAGGTTGCATTAAATTTAAATAATCTGGAAAACCCACATTTCACTGTGTCACATACAACCATATGTGGAAAACAAAAACTAAGGATGAGAAAACTTTTCTGAACTAAATGGAGAAAGTATACAAAGTTTAAATCAACACAGACTAGAGTTGGAAGGCAAAAAAAGTAACCAGATGCTCTTACCATAAACTCTTTTTGCACAAGTGTTGTGATATTGAAGAGATAATTTACGTATGTACATTTTTATAAACATAGGTATGTATATATACTTGTGTCCGTATGAAAATAAATTTATTTATCTAAATGCATATACATATTATGTATCTAAATTAATTGATGTTGTGCATACATGACATTTACAGATAAAGCAAATATTATGTATATTTTATATCTTTACATACCATGTATGCACATGTACATGTATTTGTATTTATTTACATATTTTGTAATTAAAAAAATACTATTTAATATATAAATAATAATTTTATTAACATGCTTTAAACTTATAAAAATACATTTATGTATATGTATCTACATATTTGCGCATGTGTGTTTTTACATACATAGGAATGTATATATATTCATGTCCTTATGATCAAATATTTATTTATCTAAATGTATGCACATGTATTATGTATCTAAATTCATCTATTGAAACTAGATATATACATGTTTTGATATGAATGATTTAAATTTCATTTAAAATTAAAAATGCTAATCGGAAGTGGGAGAAAAAAGATCAGAAAATATTATTAGTATTGGTGTGCTTTGCTTAGCAACAAGACAAAACAAGCGTAGTTCTGTTTGAACCATTACCAAAAGAAAATAGATTTATTACACAAGCATTCAGAAAGAAAATAAAATGTGAAAGTAAAAATTATCCATAGTTTTTAATTCTTCATCCAATTTTTGCTACTCATTAACTAGCAAGTTAAGGTTTTAAACACTCTGAACAGATAATATTGTTATTAGT